AGCAGCGAGAGCGTGTGGCGGTCGAGGCCGGTGTCCAGGATCTGGGACATCTGGAACGCCAGCTCCAGCGACTCCTTCGCCTGCCTTGCCGCCGCAGACTCCGTCCCCGTCTCCGTCTCGTGCGGCGCCATCGATCACCTCCGGCCTCCGGTGGGTGGTGGGCCTGGACCTTCGCGGTAGAGGAGGAAGACAAGGTTGCCGTCGCAGTTGAGGGTGGCGCGGCCAACCTCACTCACTGCTCCAGATCCACTTCACTTCCGGGCAGGTATTGGGCCGCAACGCCTCGTCCTCTGCCTAGCAACCGCCGCCAACACCAAGCAGGAGCTCCTGATACTGACTTTGTGCTACTTTTTCTGTCCCATAATATACTATAACAGACGAGACACTTCGTAGTACAATAAATCTAAACATACTTTCTGTCCAGATTCATTATACTGTAAAGTGTCACATCCAGTCTTAGATTGCTATATTATAAGATGGAGGAAGAATGACGAGTAAGTTGATTGATAATGCAGGAACTGTAAAATGTCACATCCAGTCCTAGATTGCTATATTATAAGATGGAGGAAGAATGACGGAGTAAGTTGATAGATAATGCCGGAGTTCCGGTTGCGTTATAGGATGCATCTCAATGTTCTCGTAGTAGGAAGAATCAGAGTACGCATGTTGTTAGTTGAAATTTTTCTATATGCACTTATTAGGAGGGAGAATCAGGTATGCATGTTGTTAGTTGCTAAATACTCCCTCCGTCCCATAAAAAACGAATCTAAGATCGGATGTGACATATTCTGTTACGATGAATAAGGGCATATGTATGTCTAGATTCGTAGTACTAGATTGGTTTTTTATGGGACGGAGGGAGTAGCTATATGCAAAAAAAAAAAAAAAAATTGTTCTATATGACATATCGTGGATGCCTTTGGAGAGAACAGAACCTTGTTTGGAATCTTTGGATTTTCACACGAGAACACCTTCATGCTGATGGGTTCAGTAAAACACATCAACCATCGGTAAAACACATCAGCCATTGATACGTTTCTGATGGAAATAATTTTAGGAGTTTGTATCACACTATCACTGTATGGTTCCTACGTATGATGAAGATTTTTTTCATGCAAACTGCCTTCTGAAAATTATTTTTGGTATGATGTTGTTGTTTGCTGAAAGATGTTACTCCTATATCGTCAAAATGGCTAACAGGCGATAGATGCCCCTAGTGCGCCCCTCCTTCTCCACGTGGTTTCCTTTTTTTTTACCGCATTACTTTACTATTTTAGTAAATTTATGCACCTAAAGTTTGTACACCTCAAGTTTACACATCCAAAGATTAGAGACCCAAAGTTTATAAATCAAAAGTTTATATATCCGATTCAAATTTGAATTTAAATTCAAATATTTTTTATATATAGTATTTCTATATATCTAAAGTTTATACACCTAAAGTTTAAAGGCCCAAAGTTTATAAGTCAAAAGTTTATATACCCGATTTAAATTTGAATTTGAATTCAAATATTTTGTATATATAGTATTTCTATACATATAAAGTTTATACACCTAAAGTTTATAGACCAAAGTTTATAAGTCAAAAGTTTACATACCCAATTCAAATTTGAATTTGAATTCAAATATTTTATATATAGTATTTCTATACGTCTAAAGTTTATACACCTAAAATTTATGAGTAAATTCCCTGTATGCACCTCAAAACTTACTCAATCCCTTTTATGCCCTCCAATTTTGACCAATCCCCTGTGTGCCTTCGAGATTTCGCTGTGATCCCTCCCATCCCTACCATTAGTTCTCACAGCATTGAGTGGTTAATTTACCTGGAAATGTCCACTGTGCCCTTAAGAGTGCAATTTGAGTTCTTAGTGACCGATTGTATTTGAGAGGTTGAGAAAGATTGAAATATCAATGAGTGCATCATATACTATGAGACTGAGTAAAAAGTGCATAGAAAATTTATAGAATGGCCAGCAATTTATAGAAATTTTGACAAGGCACTACATGGATCATCCATGCGCACTCCACTGTGTGGATCATAAGCATCATGGCCATAAAACGAATGCAAATGACAAACTAAAAGAACAAGGCAAGTACTGTGTATGTTAACCAAGGTTGTCATTATGCTAATTTTCTCATGATAATGGAGAAAGGCACACACTAAGTAAATGCCATCACATGGCCAAATTACACAGTAATATAAACAGTACCCATGGCACATCGCACTAAATGTCTGAAAAAGCGAACATAACAGTGATTTATACCTGCACATCTTGCATTCCCTTCTCAATATCAACTGTCAAGAAGAAGAGAAGAAATCATACACATCTACATATGAATGAAATCAACCTAGTCGGATGGGAGCAGTAGGGGATAGAGCTCGGGAGCCAGCAGCAGCCGCCGCTGAGACCTCTCAACAAGGCGGCTGCTGCCTGGGCCACTGCTGCCGAGATCTTGAGCAACCAGGACAGCACCTGCAGCGTCGATTGGCTGCCGTCGCTAGGGCCGAAGGGAGCCGAAGCCACCGTCGCCGGAACCGATGGGAGCCGAAGCCGCCGCCGCTGCCGCCGACGAGAGCTCGAGGGCGACAGGACCGCTGGCGCCGAATCGACGGCGGGGATGGGAGCGCAAGGCCGGTGGCCACGGGAGGAACGGTGGCGACGGCCGCGAAAGGACGGCGGCGGCGCACAGCGCCGGCTGCGTCGAGGGGAGGCGAGAGATTGGAGATTATTTGGGGATTTCTCACTGTTGCTGCCTTGCTGGTTGTTACCTAGGTTTTCGTTGGGCATTTTGGTCTTTTTTTTTAAATTACTGACAACGTAATGGATGTATGACTAACAGAACTAACAGATGCCTAACGGTAGGGATATGGGAGGGAACATACACAGGGAATCGGTCAAAATTGGAGGGTATGGAAGAGATTGAGTCAGTTTTGAGGTGCATACAGGGAATTTACTCAAAATTTATAGACTCAAAGTTTATAAGTCAAAAGTTTACATACCCGATTCAAATTTGAATTTGAATTCAAATATTAGTTTATAAACCCAAAGTTTATAAGTCAAAAGTTACATACCCGTTTCAAATTTGAATTTGAATTCAAATTTTTTATATATAGCATTTCTATACATAAATTTTTTCAACTTTGTTTTTTTTTAAAAAATTATGGTGAACTGTAGTAGGAAGAGAAGAAGGGGAGGAGGAAGGGGGAGAGGAAGAGCGTATAGGGGGGAGGGACGGGTGATCGCTAGGAAGGAGAGGGAAGCGATCACCCGCCCACTAGCAATACCCCTATATTGTTCCATTCTCATAAGCTTGCTTCTAAAAATTATTTTTTTTATGATGCTGGTGTTTACTGAAAGATGTATGCTGATGTTTAATGAAACTTAGCACTTGTTTTCTATTGATTCCTAGGGCTACGTGTTTGTAGAATCAGTCTATCCGACCTATAGATACACTTTTCATATCAGTGATGGCCTTTCTAGAGGAGCTGGGTGTTGGGCCATGGTTGCGCTAGCGATCGGCACGTGAGGGGAGTATTTGCCCGGATTTCTCGCCCTAGTATCCTTATCGACGCATTCATGATATCTAGATTAATTCAACTGTCCGGAGGCATGGTAGAAGCACGCCCACCCCATGTGCGTATTTCATGACATGCTTTGGTCGCGGGTTTCTTTCTCGTTAGAAGAAGTTGTATCCGTCCCGGACATGTGCAATGCAGTGAGATCTTGAAATCTCATTAGTAAAAAAAATATTAAGGTTTTATATATGAAAATGGTATTAATAGAGCTGTTGCATAGTCGAGTAAAATACTTTTATGTAGCTATATTTTGTGAAAATGATATTAATAGAACATATCATAAGTTAAGATTATGAGCAAGCACGTGTAATGCTACTCCTAATTAATCAACTAATTAAGTTCTCCAGCTCTGTAAAGGCATCCACAATGTGATGAAATAGCAAGTAATAAGCTTATTATTAGGTATTAGCGGTTTTTGGTGGGTTTTATCTATTTTTTTAATTGTGCTATGGTTCATGTTTGGGGAATTTTTGTGGGTCCCACCTTATTACCCACTCTACATATGTACATTTAGGGATATCAATTTTACCTATGGGACCGGGTACCCACGAGTACCGCACGTACCACACGTAATGGGTATGGGTGTGGGTTAGATTTTATGCCCTTGGGTATGGCCGATCCAAACCCGATGTATTAACAGGTGTGGCGTGGGGTTTATTCTATGCACATGAGTGTTTCGTGGATACCCAAATATTTATGTTCATACATAAACTTTAGAAGATTGTGTGTCAACAGTCAACACTAACTAAAACATAAAACATAAATATGTAAGTGCAACAAAGTCATATAGTATTAATGGTTTAATCATTTGCTTTCTTTCTTAGTGACGAAATAATTTGTGATTACAGAATTTATGGATTTTGATTCATATTTAATGGCTATGCTCGGCTGGCGTTTACCACGGCTGCACTGCGACTAGCTATAGCAGTGAGCAGCCGTAGCGCTGCCACATGAATGGCTTCCGAACACGCCAATACTTTATGAATAATTATAACGTGTAGTATTGATTGTTTATGGTTTTATAGTTAATGGCTAAACATAGATGTTAAAAGTAATAGTTTATATGTATATGTTGTTGGAAACCTATGGTATATGATACTTGACGGGCATGGACATGGGTTTTTATTTTACGCCTGATGAGAGTAGTGGGAACGGGCGGGCGAGTAGTTTTGGGTCTTGGGCCAGGTATGTTCGATCCGCCCAAACCTAACCCGACTCACTGATGTTCCTATATACGTAGTGATGTCTTTTCAACTTATTATTATCATCTGACGGACAAACGTTGCTAGCACCTAATTTTGCAATAAACATTGAGATGCCCTAAACTGGATTAGGCGTACTGGCATGTGGGCGTAGTCACTGCATGTGGGCCAGCTCTAGAGATTTCTGGCTCGGTCCAGGATTTCACCGCACTTCGCACAGGCGCACCGAGCACAATACGCGAACGAAGGGAAAAGAAACCAGAGCTTACCCACCAGGCGCTTTGCGGCCAGCGACGACGAGGACGGAGGCGAGGCGCGCGCCGCGGCCGGAGATGTCGCAGAAGCGGCAGCCGGAGGAGAGCAGCGGCGGCGTCGGCGGAGGCATGGGACCCCCCGTCCCGGCCGAATCCGGGGCCGGGAGTTCCTCGCCGCCCCACCGCCGCGGGGAGCCCAAGCGCCAGAGGGTCCCCGCCCTCCGCGAGTATGCCCCCCCTTTCCGTTCTCTTGAGAGCTCGATTGGAACCCCCATGGTTGTGTTTGTGTGGCTGGTTATCTGATTTGGTGTCAGTGGTGGCTTTGCCTCCGCGCAGGGTGATCACGGAGGTGATGCGGAAGAGCAGCATCGAAAAGTTGTTCACGGCTATCGAGCCCCTCATCCGAAGAGTGGTGAGGCAGCCTATGGAACCTACTTATTTTTTCCATTTCTCACCCATGTGTCATGAATTCATGGAAGTTATGCCTTTCGAGTACATGTTTGATCTGTATCCCCTTTCATTCTGTTGGGGTTAGGGTTATCTTTTGTTGCTAACATGGCTTTTATATTGATCATTCATAATTCTATTCCAAGTTTCATCTGTATTTGGTGCAGCTAGCATGATTAGATCTGTTTTGAACTTGTGAATTACACAAACCCTACTTGTAGTTCCCAACTTAATGTGAGGAACCCTGTAAATCCATAAATTGAAACCTAGCAAGCATTTAAGCCATGGAAGACAAATCATTAATTCCTGACCTCTAGTTTTTGGACTCATTTGTTTCTATCTAGAAGATAGTATTTTCACTCAAAGCTGTTGAAAGTTTATCCTAAGTAGGATTTTCTTCAGCCATGTGTTATTTTTGGCTGTCCAATGATGGTCTTGATGTTCTACCCAATTATAATTTCTAGGTGAAAGAAGAAATCGAGTCAGCGTTTGCAAATCATGCCACTATGATGGCAAGGTACGACATTGTAACACAGTCTTAACTACCAATTTGACAAGTATCAGTCACTGTATAGATTCATAAAGTTAATGCAGCTTTCTTTAGTTTAACAACTTGTTTTTTTTATTTTTCCCATTAGAACTGTCATGGATGTTGTTCCATCTTCATCGAAAAATTTCCAGCTACAGTTCATGACTAAGCTTTCACTTCCAATTTTCACTGGCTCCAAGATTGAAGGGGAGAGCTCCTTAAGTATAACTATTGCTCTAGTTGACACTGTTACCAGAGAAGTTGTAGCATCAGGCGATGAGTCCCTGATGAAAGTTGAAATAGTAGTTTTAGAGGGGGATTTTGAAGGTGGAGAAGGCGATGACTGGACAGCTCAAGAGTTCAACAATAACATTATTAGAGCAAGGGAAGGTAAACGACCCTTGCTTTCTGGAGACATTTTTGTTGGCCTTATTAAAGGCATTGGTGCAGTGGGGGAACTATCATTCACAGATAATTCCAGTTGGACACGCAGCCGTAAGTTCAGGCTAGGTGCAAAAACTGAGGATGGTTCTTATAACGGAGTAAGGGTGCGTGAAGCAAAGTCTGAATCATTTGTGGTGAAGGATCATCGTGGAGAATGTGAGTTTGCTTATCAAATTTCAATTATTCTTTTAGTTCCCTGACTAGTGCTAGTTTCCTGATCCATTTGGCAGAGTTGTCCCTTTATTTTATAATTGCACATTTATCAATATGGAAATTCCTTCTTTTAGCACATATTTATCATAGACAGATAATTCTCTTTTACTACTATTTAAAATGATTGCCCTGTGCCATTTTTATTTTTCATTGTCATAAATGTAAAAAGGCGGTCAAATTTCAACTCATCTTTTGGAATTATTTTATTCATTTTTCCTAGTATACAAGAAGCACCATCCCCCTATTCTTGATGATGAGGTTTGGCGCCTGGAGAAGATTGGCAAGGAGGGAGCATTTCACAAGCGTTTGAATAGGGAGAAAATTGTTACTGTAAAAGATTCCTCACTTTACTACATCTTGATGCTCCTAGGCTTCGAAAGGTACTATACTATACTGATCT